CTCTTCCGATCTTGTCGGTAATTCCCGACCTTTCAGCATCCTCTTAACGCCGAGAACAAGACACACACATGCATTAATATACACACACACTTACATAAGATTAAAAAGAGTTAGATTTTTAAGATTTGAAGTCTACATTTTAATTTCCTTTTTATAAAATTTCCTACAATAATTTGAGTTATATTGAGTAGACAAGAGAAAAGAGCCCGTTTTGTAACTTTTTTTTTAAAACACTATAACTTTGTCAAAAAAAATCGTAGAAAAATGATCGATATATGAATTTGTTAGGAAATCAATGAGCTTGAAAACTTATAAATATTTTTATGCCAGGCAGCCAACTTCCCTGACCAGCGCAATAGTTTAAAAAAAAATGTTTTCTTTTTTTTCTAAGCCTGACTTCAACGTCCGCCATTTTGTAAACCATTTCTGGAACTCAATTTTGATTTTCTTAGTTATCAAGTGGAATGTTAAAGCTTTAATTTGAGCTTAGGTTCATTTCGATACGATGATTTTTCATAGAGTTACTATTGAAAGATATTAAAAATTTGAGCTAAAATCTAGGTGCCCGGTTTTTTTGCCGATGAGTATATATACAAACGTGAATTAAAAACATTCATTCATTTAAAAATTGTGGCTTGCACGGAAACATAAATGTTTTTTTATTTATATAAAATAATGTTAAAAATATAAAATAAACCTGTGGATGGATTAGGCTGCGTCCGACTATTAATATTAGTCGCTAATCCTTGAGCAGGTGTTCTCGATGGTTCGTTTCGGATTGGCGTGCCAGCTCCAGTAAAATCTAAAGCCCAGTCTCGATAACTCTGACCATTTCTACCACCGCCAATTCCCGGTCGGTTTGGTCTCGAAACGGCAATATCCATACCAATTTCTGTTCCTGGATTGAGTCGATTAGATTGCGCATTATTTCGTACATTTTGTCTAGTATTGCCCATGCTAATTGCTGGTCCTGGATTAACGGCGCCTGTTACAATAGTTCCAGTGTTTACAGTCGGTTCTGTGATAGCTTTTGTCGAAGTTGTAGTAGTTTGTACGTTTATGGATGACGGTGTAATTGTAGTCGTAGTAATAGTAGTAGTAGTAGTAGTAGCCTCTTGGTCCTTTTTCCAAAATTTCCATCCTGCTTCACCATTTTCTAAGAAATAAATCAGAATTATTAAATTCTTAGTATTCTGCATATGCAAATAAAATAATTTAGCAGCATACGTAATAAATGTATAATACACTTCTCAACAAAATTAAAGCATCACTTACTCTACCCTCCAAAAATAGGCAAAATTCAAGAGAGTGTAACTTCGTCAAAAATGATTGTATCGAGATGTTCAAAAAAGCATTTTACAGCTTGAAATCTCTACTTTTCAAATCGGTACTTTAGAAAACGATCCTACTGATTTTTCATGGAATTACACGGATAGAAAAGGAAACTCGACGAATCTTAAAATTTTTTACGAACTTTGACAAGTTCCATAGCGCGAATTAAAAATCGCATGCAAATGCAGTTTACAACTTTCGAAAGAGTGAATCTTTACCTTTAATTTGCTTTTTGTTGAGCGTTGTACGATTTTTTTTCACCGAGTTATTCAACATTAAAGCAAAAATGGTCCTTTTTGCTTCA